CTTTCGCTGATAACTGTTCGCCTTGTACCGCAATCGAACGGAACTAAGACCACGACTACACAGTTGTGAAAGTTTCTTAAAAGAAATATTAATCATATCTAATTTAGCGTATTTCGACAAAAAAAAGGAAGAAAAATATATAGTATGTTCATGTTCATGATTAAAAGTAACGACATTTTATTTTACTAAAGCAGCCTATATATATATGAATACGTGCATTTCAAATTTTACACATAATTTTCATTTAAAGTATATATTATCTAAGAAGTAGAAAAAAATATTTTTGGCTGCAAATAAACTGTATTATATGCCTTTATAAACAAAGGTAGATAAACTTAACAGTTTAATTTGTATATATGTCAAATGAAATGTATATTTCGTATAAAAATACACATAGTAGTATCTAATAATATATTGTGCATTTAAATACTATCATTTACTACACAGTACATATACTAAGTTGGTAAATTTGTAATTTTAAATGCAGAAACATACATGTGTCATTATATAAAATATAAATTACATTTACAATGTATGCTATTTTAAATTAAGACTATTTAAAATAACTAAAAAAATATGTCTACCAAAGACTATCTTATGGTAATACTATACACTAATACCTATGTACACATAAAATTAAAGGTAAATTAGATTACTTTACAGTTATAATATATTATATATTTGTTTAAATTATACATACATCAGACATTTTTAATTATTATAAAGAATTAATAATTATATTATATTTCTTATATTTAAAATAATCTATATTAAATTATTTTTCTCAGTCTTACTATGAATATTATTCATTTATTAGTATGAAATTTCAATGTAATGTGTTTTTTCCAATATTTAATTTTAAAAAATAAATATTGTTAAGTAGAAGATATTCATTATTTGATATATTGAAAAAAATAAAATATTATAAATAAATCATATAAAGTTATTTTAATAGTTTTTAAAATAAACAAAGAATAATTTCTCAAATTTTAAATGAAGTATAAAATTTTTATTAAACAATAAATTCATAAAGAAATATGAATATATAAGTTTTTAAAAATATATTAATCTTTTTTTTAATAATAATTATGGTTAAATTAAACTAAAAAATCTTTATTAGTATTGTATTCACATATAATTAAAATTAAATAAAAATTAATTTTATAATATATATATATTTAATTTTTTTAAGATATATATATATAATATATATATATAATTTTTATTTAAGATTTAAATTTATTTATTTCTACAATTAAAAAAATTATTTTTAATTAAAGTTCAATTTTAATACTAGATTAAAAACTTTTCGAAATCTAATGACTTTTTCAAAATCATTAATTAATAATTAAAATATAATGAGAGATTTGAGACTTTTAAAATATTGATTTTTCATTTTTTATAAATATATCAATTTTAATTTCACTTTTAAATTATTTTCCATAAAAAATATTTATATCTTAGTTATTGTTTATGCCGTACCGTGACGCTACATTAGTTAGAGCATCACGACGAATAAGTGTGTCATTTTAATATTCTAATTAAAATTAAAATTAATTTCTTAATTATTGCGAATGTATCGATGTTAATATGGCTTCGACTGAACTTGACTGGGGTAAATACGTAGATGAGCAAGAAAAATTATCAGCGAAGGTAATGTTCTTGTCATATGTATATATCACCGGCTTAACCTCATTTTCATTTATTCATTATTGTTTATTACTTTTTTTTTTAATATTCTATTTTTTAATTTTTTAATTATTTTAATTATATTTATTCAATAATTAAAATATATATAGAATAATAATTTTAAGTCTTCTTTTATAATAAAACATTTTTGTTATCTTTACTTTCTTTATTGTAATAATGACATATTATGCTGATTATCAGGTCTCCAATTTAAATATAGATAAAGAGCTTAAAGAAAATACAACAAATACAGATTCCAAAGATGATGATGTAGCAGATGAACAAATATCACCTGCAGAAAAATCATTACTCCAAAAAATTATACGTAGAGGTTTAGTAGAAACAACAAAAGATATAGAAATTCAAAGAAAAGATCCATCATCACCTTTATATAGTGTCAAATCCTTTGATGCTCTTCATCTGTTGGTATTTTTAATTATTACTTTTTTTATCTTATAATAATTTTAAAAAAGATTATATATTATAATACATATTATAGTAAACCAGCTTTATTAAAAGGAGTATATGCAATGGGATTTAATGCACCATCAAAAATTCAAGAAACTGCATTGCCTACTTTACTAGCTGATCCGTAAGTTCATTTTTAATATAAAAATATTCAATAAATGCTATATTAATATTATAATATAAAGTATCTAAATTATTTAATTTATTTATAGACCTCAAAATATGATTGCTCAATCACAATCTGGAACTGGAAAAACAGCAGCATTTGTATTAGCAATGCTCAGTAGAGTAGATACTACCAAAAATTATCCTCAAGTACTTTGTTTATCACCAACTTATGAATTAGCTATACAAACAGGAGAAGTAGCAGCAAAGATGTCTGCATTTTGTAATGAAATAAAAATAAAATATGCTGTAAGAGGAGAAGAAAGTAATATATAGTAAAAATAATTATCAACATTATAAATGTCTATTTTTTTTAAATAAAAATTTATTTAAATATTCTTCATTATTTCAGTAAGTCGAGGAACAAAAGTTACAGAACATATTATCATTGGAACACCAGGAAAAGTTTTAGATTGGGCTTTTAAATTTAAATTCTTCAGTCTAAGTAAAATATCAGTTTTTGTTTTAGATGAAGCCGATGTGATGATTGCAACACAAGGTCATCAAGATCAGTGTATTCGTATTCATAAGTAATTATTTTAATGAAGAAATATATAAAATAATTTTATATATATTCTATATATATATTTCTTTATTTTATATATTTGAATTTTTCATTTAAATACATTACAGACAACTTCCACGTACATGTCAAATGATGTTTTTCTCTGCAACTTATGAGCCAGAAGTAATGAAATTTGCAGAAATTATAGTCAATAACCCTTTGATAATAAGATTATTGAAAGAAGAAGAAACTTTAGATAATATTAAACAATATTATGTCAAATGCAAGGATTTAGATGAAAAATATGCAGCTATCACTAATATATATGGTGTAATTACAATAGGACAAGCAATTATTTTTTGTCATGTATGATATCTTTAAATTTTAAAATTAATGAATACATTGTTTTTATTTTAAAATTAAATAAAATAATATTAATATTAATAAAATAAATATTAATTTTAAATAGTATTTTATATTTGTACATAGACTAGAAAGACAGCTAATTGGTTAGCTGAAAAAATGACAAAAGATGGTCACGCAGTAGCTGTTTTATCTGGGGAATTAACAGTCGAACAAAGAATTTCAGTATTGGATCGCTTTAGAGCTGGTCTTGAGAAAGTTCTTATTACAACCAATGTTTTAGCTAGAGGTATTCAATTTCTAATTTTTATTCTTTGTTTTCTAATTTAAGCTTTTTTATTTTGTGTTTATTTGTTATATATATATATATAAAGATAAGAAAATAACTTAAATATAATTATAAATTTATTTAAAAATTTAACAGTTCAAATATATTGCAGGTATTGATGTAGAACAAGTAACAATAGTAGTCAATTTTGATTTACCAATGGACCAAAATCGACAAGCAGATTGTGAAACTTATTTACATAGAATTGGTCGAGCTGGACGTTTTGGTAAATCTGGAATTGCTATTAATCTAGTAGATTCATCGCATGCAATGCAAATATGTAAAGATATAGAAAAACATTTTGCAAAAAAAATAAAATATCTTGATACAGAAGATGCAGATGAAATAGAAAAAATAGGAGTTTAAGTTAATATATAGGAATTACAATTATGCTTTTTATCAAATACGCCTAGATATACTGTAATATCTCCTGAAAGAATAGATATTTGTATTCTCAGCATAGATTTTTTTGTATTTCTTTTCCAATAGCACATATTACCAAGAAATATGTTTACTTTTTCTTTTTACAATGGTTGTATAGAATTTTTTACTATCGAATTAAAATATGGCGATTGGATCAGGAATATATACAGAATTTAAATAAAGAAATATTTTTATATGTTATACAACAAACAACTGTTTGGCGCAAAAAAATATTGTGTCCTTGTCTCTTTACCATTATAAATTACTTCATTGACTTTTTATATAAAAAATAAATCATTTTTTTTGTATTTTTTCAATTTTAATAATCACATGATTTATTGGATATTGATTATTAATATTAAGAAACATTACATACAACGATAATGTGGTAATATTATCACGATTTATATAAGTACAAATAATATAAACAAAAATAGTTAATCATTGATTATTAATTAACTATTAATTGCCCGTATATCAAAATGAACAAGTTGTAATTGTGGTATAAAAACTTTTTTTTGTAAATGAATTATAAAATAAAAATATTTTAACACAATTTCTTTGAAAATAATTGTTGTGAAAAGTATACATGAGTATTCTGTAGATATAATATAACAAAGTAAATGAACAAAATATTCAATATCGTTACTAAATTATTGTTTTCAATTAATTTACAAAATATTACAGTATTTTTTTATAATGTCTTGTTAATAATTACATAAATAATTACTTGAATAAAACTATAAATAATTATTTCTTATTGTAATAAAATTTAATTTAATTTAATTAACAATATTTTTACTTTTTGAGTTAAACATTTTTTATATATAAAACTCCATTTTTCAAATTTTTAAATAAAAATAAAATAAAAATGTGGGAAATAATTTTTTTTTAAAGAACAACAATAATATATATTTTAAAGATACATTTATTAAGACTAAAAAATGGAAATAAATCATAACATTTAAAAAAAGGTATGAAATAATTTGTGTGTTTATCCTATTGCAATACATATGTTTGTACATTTGCATCATTATTTATTTATTTCTTTATTTATTAAATATTTTTCAAAGGATATTATTATTTAATTATTATAAGAATATTATTATTAGACTTTTATAATCGCAAACAAATATTTGATAACCTTTTGATTAAGCAAAAGAATACGAGTATTTGATAACAATTTTAATTATAGAAAAAAAAGAATAGCTTTCTATAAATATTAGAATCAAAATTATTTAGACATGTTGATTAAATTTTTAAACATATTTTTATAATTTATTATTAATTCAAAACTTATTAAATTTTATTATTTTTAGATGCAATAATATTATTTGTTTGCACATTTGTTGTTACATTTTGTATAACAATATGTAAACTGTCAATATAAATATGTATTTTTTCCAGAAAGGAATGAATTTTTGTTATGGCATGTATATAGTAAAACAATAATGCTTAGAATGCGAAACAAACATAAATGACTCGAGAACAAATATCACAACAGTATGTGAAGAACTTGTTTTCACCTTATTCTTTAGTTTAAAGTACGGTAGTGTCCTAAGCATTTAACATTCGATCGGTATATCATATTATGTATTTGCAATTACAATCGCAATTTATAAAAAAAGTAATTAATATTGCGATCAAACTGCGATGTAAAATTCAGTCTTTGTATGGGATTTTATTTAATTACATACCCATACCTCCCATACCACCCATACCACCCATTCCACCCATACCACCACCACCCATTGGCATTTGAGGTTCTTCTTTAGGCAATTCAGCAACCACCGCTTCAGCAGTAGTGAGCAGCGATGCAACGCCCGCAGCATCAGTAAGTGCCGTACGCACTACTTTCGTTGGATCAATAATACCTTTTTCGATCATGTCAACATATTCATCATTTAAAGCATCATAACCAAGATTACCATCACTAACTTTTGCAACCACTAAACTAGCATCCACGCCTGCATTTTGAGCAATCTGCAAACATGGCATACGCAATGCATTTGCCACTATCTTTATTCCAGTTTCTTGATCATTATTTGATGCTTTTAAATTTCGAAGAGCTGGAATACATCTTAAAAGAGCAGTACCACCTATAAAATAAAAATATTAAAAATAATAATTATGATAATTTATTTTTATTTAATTATTAATTTAATTATAATTACTAGGATTATTTATTAGAATTTTAACACATTTTTTATTAAGATAATTATTAGGATTTTCTCAATATTTATAATAAATTGAACATATTTTGTACATAATTATATTGTGCTTTCATTTTAAAATTTTATAAAAAAATTTTGAAAATAAATATATTGTATTTTTGAATTTTGAAAATAAAAATATATTTACCTCCAGGAACAATTCCTTCTTCAACAGCTGCTCTAGTTGCATTAAGAGCATCATGAACACGATCTTTTTTTTCATTAACTTCAACTTCACTACTTCCACCAACTCTGAGAACTGCAACTCCTGATGCTAACCTTGCCAAACGTTCTTGTAATTTTTCTTTTTCATAGTCAGATGTTGTATTTGCAATCTGATCTCTAATTACGTCTGCTCTATGATCAATATCACTTTTTTTTCCTTTGCCCTTAAGAAAAAGTGTATCGTCTTTCGTAATTACGACTTCTCCTACTTCGCCCAAATCACATAATTGTACATTCTCTAATTTAACAAGATTTGCATCATCACCAAATACAATTCCTCCAGTCAAAATTGCCATATCTTGAAGCGTTGCTTTTCTATTATCCCCAAAACCAGGAGCTTTGACTGCAGCCACTTGTAAGCCAATTTTTAATCTATTAACTACAAGTGTTGACAAAGCTTCACCATCGATGTCTTCTGCTATAATAACAAGTGGTTTTCGTTGAGAATTTGCTAATTCCAATGCAGGAATTATAGATTGTACAGATGATATTTTTTTCTCGCTGAAAAGCAGAAGTGCATCTTGGAATTCAACTTTTGCTCCTTTACTAGAATTTATAAAGTAAGGAGATATGTAGCCTCTATCAAATTTCATTCCTTCTATAACTTCCAGTTCATCATGTAACGTTTTACCATCTTTTACAGTAATTACACCTTCTTTCCCGACCTTTTTCATAGCATCAGAAATAAGATTACCAATTGCTTTATCTCCATTAGCTGAAATAGTTGCTACTTGTGCAATTTCTTCAGGAGTTGTTACTGGCTTACTTAAGGCTTTTAATTCATCTTTAACTTTATCAACAGCTAACATAACACCTATAATATATTCATTATTATAATAAATATTATTTTACCTTAAGAAAAACCAAGAAAATATTTTTTTTAGAATTGGGAAAATTTGTGTAAAAAAATTTTAACAATATTATATAACAAATTAAATTTTATAATTTAATAATATATATAATTTTATTTTTATTTACCTCTTCTTATTTCTACAGGATTGGCACCTTTACTTATTTTTTCAAAACCTTCTTTAGCAATGGCTCTTGCCAAAACTGTAGCTGTAGTTGTACCATCACCTGCCTCTTCATTCGTATTATTTGCTACATCTTGTACTAATTTTGCTCCAATATTCTGAAATTTATCTTTTAATTCAACTCCTTTAGCAACTGTAACACCATCTTTAGTAATTTTTGGACTACCCCAACTTTGTTCTAAGATAACATTACGTCCTTTTGGACCCATTGTTACTGCAACTGCATCTGCTAAAATATCAACACCTTGCAACATAAGTGCTCTAACTTCTGCACCAAAACGTACATCTTTAGCATATGAACGAGTTTGTAATTGGCGCAAGGCTGCACTTCGCAATACGGTTGGTAATCTGTGCATCTAAAATAATAAAAATAATAATACAGTTGATAATTTAGAATATTTCCGTTTTAAAAAAATATATAAATATATTATAAATATGAAATATAATAAAAATTATTTTTTAAATTTTAATAATAAAATTCATTATTATTATTAAATAATTATTAAATAATTAAATTTAATAATTTAATTTTAGATAAATAAGTTTGTTTTTCATTATTTTCAAAGATTAACAGTGATTAATGATTTTTTAACACAACGTGGTTATGTAAACTACCGCGTGGTCAAGGAAGAAATTGAATGATATAGATTTATTTCTAAAAAATTTATAATCTAAGAAATTTTTTACGAAAATTTTTATATAATACAAAATATATGACTACTTTTTCATTTAATTTTTTCTTATATTATTTTGATTTAGTATTCGATCTAATTAATCGAACCGGCTTATTTAAGAAAAAAAGAGTGAAGCAAAAAAAGAATCAAGATGTTAAATCTTGATTGAAAGAATATGAATAACTCACATAGATTAAAATAATTGTAAGGAAAATTTATTAGAATGTATGAATATTCTTTTGCTTTTTTATTTCGTAACTTTGGTTATGGTTTTAAAAATTGTAATATTTTTAAAACATTTAAATTCATTGAAATGACAAATATAAAAAAAATTATTCTAAAACAGAACCTATCAATACATAATAATTATAGAAATAAAATATACAATAAATATAAAAAAAATAAATTTTAATAAATTTAGCCGGCTTATATTATTAAAGAATTAATATTTATTTTATATATAAAGAAACAAATCAAGATTATCTTAAAAACATTTACCTTTGACTAATGAAGGAGAAAAAACCGTTGATTAGAGATTGTAGTTACAAAAGTAATTGAAAATCGCCACAGCGTGACCGCACGTTGTCTCGCTAGTAGAATGAAATATGTAAGAGAGCTTACGATACACATGGGAAATACTCCCCTCCCTTTCCTTTCTATCTTAACCTAACCTTTGTATTTATCATTAAAAAAATGTTTTAAAATTGTCAATAAATTTAATTGAAATAAAATACAAATAAAATAAAAATCTTATGATTATTCTTATTCTTTCTTTTAATAATATCTAATTCTTTCTTTCATATTCATATATCATTTTCTTAGTGTGGGATTATGTTCTAGAATGTACGAGAATATGTGTGATGTAATCATCCTGTATTCGCCAATCATGTTCGTCGATATACCGGTAACGCGTTCTTTATTATAATGATTCTCAATCTCTAAATTAATATTAGTTTATAAATGATTTTATAACAATTTGAAATATAATTATAATACTAATATATAATAGTAATAATAACAATAATAATAAAAAGAAAAAAAAAAAGAATGTATTAATTTTATTAAAAACTGTTAAGAATTATTTTCTTCTGATGAAATACTTTTATTTTCAATACTTATTTAAAAATATCGAATTTTAAAATCATTTTTTATATTATTATCAATATGTTTTGAAGTAAATAATTTGATAAATATAATCTTTATTATTTAATTTTATTTCATTTTAAAAATATCGAACGATAAAAAATATTACAATCTATAAAATATTTATTATATGATGGAAATGAATATTTTTAATATACAACCTATTATAAAATCATATTAAAAAATTATTTTTATCAAAATATCTTTATCAATATTTTAATTTATGTTTTTGTATTTACAAATCAAAAGAAAATATTTTATTCAATAATTTCTTATGTTAAATAATATTTATTCGTTACCAATCATTTTATGAATATATATATATAATTTAGATGATAAATAAAGCATAATTTACTGATAAATAAAGCAAAATTAAGAATAATAAATTGGTACTTTAATATATAATGAAATATATAATGAAAATAAACATATATAAAGAAAATAAAGTTGAATTTTAGAACTCATTCTTTTAAAAAAATTATTTAATATATTGTATCATTATAGTATATTTTTTATCTCGTAAAACTTTGTTAAAGAATATAAGTATTTAACTACCTTGTTAAAATGATTATATTATTTATGCGTTTAATAGTATTTTAGTAACATTTTTAGTAAATTTTATATCATATGAATAAATAAGAATATATATAAGTATATAATTATATAACGAATCTTGCTCTTGCTCGAATACGAAATCAATAAACACGTGGTGGGGCACATTCGGAATCTTCGAGAAGAACAGGAAAGATTGTTCGCTTTCAGCATATAGGTTGCACAACGTGCACAAGTACACATTCTCCGTAGATTATTGAAATTTGTAATTTTAAAAACTATGGTAAGAAAATAAAAATTATATCTTATATCATTTAAAATTTTCCGTATAAAATAATAAATCAATTTTATAATTTTTAAAACATTTTTATGAATTTTTATAACCTCTAAATTATTAAATAAATAAATATATTTTCTATTAATTAGAAAAAATCTTTTGATTTTTAAAGTATATGAATAATAAATCAAAAATCGTGTATAATACTTTTGTCATTTGTTGTTTTTTTGTTTAATATAGTAATTTCAGTAATTTCTCATTACAAATTTTGGCGCATGGCCGGTATTGGTTTTTTTCATCCTTCTTTTTTTTTGTTATTGAAAAAAACAAATGACTATAAAACGGATAATAAAACAAAAATAAATATATATAATTGTGCTTGTGATTCAACACATCGCAAATTTAATAGTAAAGTTAATTATAAATAAAAAATTAATCTCTGTGATTTTATATATATTGTATTTTCATTATTTGTTTTCATTTATAAATATTAAATATATATTTTATAAAAACTAACCTTTTTTTTTCAAATTTTAAAAAAATTATAAAAAAGATTTTGTGAAATTACGCCATGCATGATCTTAAAGTAATTAATTTGATTCGTATATTATAAATATATATTGATAAAAGTTATTAAATATTATGATTATATATATTATTTTAATATTTTTATAATAGGCTGCAACTAATGCCATTAAGAGACTTATACCTCTCTTCGATAGAGTTCTTGTGCAAAGAGCTGAAGCTATAACAAAAACAAAAGGTGGTATTGTTTTACCAGAAAAAGCTCAAGCAAAAGTATTGCAAGGAACTGTTGTAGCAATTGGACCTGGACAAAGAAATGATGTATGTTAAATATATATAATATTTATAATAATAATATGATTTAATCATAAATTAAAAAAAATATATTGATATCTATTTTTAGTAAGATTCAGTAATATTTAATATTTAATTTCAGAAAGGTGAACACATTCCTTTAAGTATCAAAGTTGGTGATATTGTGTTATTACCAGAATATGGTGGAACTAAGGTAGAATTTGAAGATAATAAAGAATTTCATTTATTCCGTGAGTCAGATATACTGGCAAAATTAGAAGTTTAAGTTTCTATTAAATTTATGTTTGCAATTGTTCAAATACTATAAAATATTTTATAAGAAATATGTAAACAATGAAACAGTAAAATGTAAGTTAATTTCATGCAAACTTTAATGTTCATAATTATATCATACAATGCTATTATGTATCTACTATTCTATGTGTCATGATTTCATAGTTATAAAAAAAAAGAAAAAATAAAATGTTCATTGTGTTTATATACTACTTTTTGTTTAAATAATGTTTCTTCTATCTTTTTATTTTGGCATTTCATATAAATAAAAAAAGAATTCATTGATATTAATGTATTAAGTAAATTTGTATTTTGTACATAAATAAATATATTATTTTAATATATAGATATATAAGATATATAGAAAATAAAGATAATTCTACAATTTTTAATATAAAATACAATTTTAATGTAGATTTATTTTTTATTTCAATTTAATACTTTTCTTTACACTAGCTTTAATACCCGATATTTCCCCAGCATAACGAGTAACTTCTTTTCTCACTTCTCTTATCTATAAAATAAAATAAAAATAATTTTTTAATTTTTTAATTATTATTATATAATAATTTTATTAAATAATTATTTTTCATTATTTAAAGAAAATATAAACATACCGCTCCTTTCCTACGAATTTTGGCCTTACGATATTTATTCCTGTGTTTTACTCTAGGATTACGTTGTTCCTTTTTACGATGCGGCATTAAACCTTTATTTTTTGCTATTTGATATGTAATTGCTCTTTTTCCTTCATCATCAATTATAGTATTTAATGTATCAACATTTTCTATTTTATTTTCTTCTCTATCCTGTAAATCTATTTTTTCATTTGTATGTTCATTTTCTATTTCAAAATCAGATTCAGATTCTAATGAATATATATTTGTATCTTCATTTACAAATTTTTCTATATAATTTGTTTTTTCATTGAAATGACTTATTTTTTGTTCATTGATACTCATTTTATTGTTATCCAATATGTTATATAATATTTTTTCTTCTTTTTTAGTTTTTAATATTTCCTGTATTTCTTGAATTAAATTTCCTTGCTCAGATTCAAGTTGATTTAATAATTGACGATATTGTGCTAAACGTTTTATAACTGGATGACTACTAACAGGTAATCTTTTTGCTTTAAGCATCAAGTAGAAAGATATATTGATACAATAATTTAACAAAAGATGATATTTTATCCTTATGAAAGAAACAGCAGGGCAATTAGGTATTATACCATTTTTAACTAATTTTAAAAATGGTGCTAATAAATCTTTTGCTTCAGTCATGTAATCTAAATCATAAAATATATATTGAAAATATTTATATTTCAAATTTTATCTTACTTAAAAATAATTTATAAACTTTTTTTATTATAATACCTTTAAAATCATTTACAAGAACCACAAATTCAGGACTTTCTTTTTGCATTATTGCTTGCTTTTGTCTTTTACTAAGTTTACTGAGATCAGATTTTATAAATTGTTCTGCATTCTCATATATTTTTTGATTATCATTTTTTGTTGTCTGTATAATATCCAATCCAAAATCAACATCATCCAATTGTTCTGCCAGTCTTTTTTGAATATTTCTAGCCTCTTCTTCTTCCATTTCTGCTTCAACTAAATCTTTTTGATTGGCAGTGGCATAATCAGGATCTACATAATCTGTAGAATAATAATCTTTTTTCTTTTTTCCCCAAGCTTTTTCATTTGGCAGATCAAAATCTTCTCGTAATCCTTCAATATCAGATTCCATAGAATCTGTTTGTATTTCATTTTCAGTGTTATCTTGATCTTGTTCATTTTCTTCATGTAATCCATATACTTCATAATCACTATCATAACTTTCTGAAGATTGTCTTTCTCGTATTTTTCTAAGTAAATTGCGTTCATTTTCAGAATATTCTTCTTCAGAATTTATGATATCATTTATATCTATATTTTCCAAATTCTCTGTTTCTTTACTCATTTCTGTTACTTTTGTTTTACTGAAAAAAATCAAATACATATATATTATATAGTAATTAATAACATAAAAAACACATTTTAAACATTATAAATAAATGGAATATAATTTATTTAATATTTTCAAAAATCTGTATTTTATTATACTAAATTAGTATTTTATTCAAGACAATTCTTATTTTACCTCTTTTTATTTTTCATATTAAAATTTATATATATATATATATTATAGAAAAATTATAGTCAAAAGTATTTCAGAATTATACAACACGTGATTGTGTATTTTACTTTATAAAATTTACAGAACTTTGTTTAAAAACTTAACTTATTATGTAAAACAAATTTTTTTCGCACAAATAATAAAAAATAATTCGTATTTATTATTTTTAGAAAAATTATTTTATTAGAAGCACTTATTCTTATTACTCGAATAAAATTTAATGATTTTTTGAAGATATAAGAATATGAATATATTTTCAAGAAATTTTCTATTGTGATTTCTCTTGATCTCGATATAATTTTTTGATCAATAATTATAATATTATTTGATTTGAATCATTATATTTTATTCATTTATAGCAGTGTTCAATTTTCTGATTAGTGATTTATTTTATTATAAATTTTCGAGTCAAAATCTTTACACGAGTCTTTACTACGAACGTAAAATGTCCCTATATGATATATTTTAACTTTAGTTAGACATAAATAACTATTTAATGTACAACATATAATGTGTTTTAAATATTAAATTTGGGAATTTTATAAGTTAATATTTAGGTTATGTGATTGCTTATGCACTATATTTGTGAAAATAAAAATTATATAAATATATAAACATTTGATTTTTATTATTTATTTAAATTTAAAAGAAAAATGGTATTTTTAACTGCACAATTATTTGTGAGATGTCGGGGTCCTGATGAATTCTGGCGAAAACGACAAATATTCAAACTCGCTGCGGTAAATATACAACACTTATTTTAAAAAGAATGGAAAAAATTATGCCAAATAAAATTTTAATCAAAATAAAAACTTTCCAGCATTATATTGGAAGGAGAAGAAATTGCTATAGCTTAACTATTAAAAGTGTACATAGAGCACTGCAATTTTCTACAATAGGAAGAAAACTTAAAAAACAAAATATGAAAGAGGTATTATGCAAGAAAAATTTTCTTTAGAATATTATATAATTAATCTTTCCTTTTTCGTATAGCTTTGGGAAACTAGAATAGATGCTGCTACAAATGAACATGGTATTGGTTTAAAAGTGTTATTAGAAGGATTAAGTAGATGTAATGTATTATTAAATCGCAAATCATTAGCAATTTTGGCTATTTGGGAACCACGAACATTTAAATGTTTATCTGATATTGCTTGTGCAAAGGCAAAACTTGGAGGTGATCCAAAAGTTGCCAATAATTCTATGCCTGAAAATGTTATGATTAAAGGATTAGTTGATGAATTAGATTAAAAGGTTAAATAAATTGTGAAACTTACATTTTGTTGTAACATTTATTGAATTATTAATGATTATATATTTACAATAAGCATATATTTTTTAAGAATAGAAGAATGAAATATATATTTTATTGTTAATTGTAGGATAATAACTCTTCATTGCAGGAACATGACATAAAACTTTCTCTATACAAACAACAAGAAAAATATTTATAAATTAATTCTTACTTATTTTATACTTATTATAATATACACATTCTTAGAGTGTATATTAATTTAAGGAATAATATTCTTATATAAAGAATATTTCATCTCACTGCTTAGCATTAACGATCTGTACAAAATCAGGTTTTAGAGATGCTCCACCAACTAGAAATCCATCAATATCTTTCTCTTTTGCTAAATCTTTTGCATTTCCTGCTGTTACTGAACCTCCATAAATAATTCTAACAGTTTCTGCGACAGTTTGATTAACATTTTTAGAGAACCAATTTCTTAGTTTTTCATGAACCTCTTGAGCTTGTTGTGGTGTGGCTGTTTTACCCGTTCCAATTGCCCAAACTGGTTCATAAGCAACAACTACATTATCCCATGACTTGATTTTATTTGCAATAGCTTTTGTCTGTCTAAAAACTACTTCCTCTGTTTTACCAGCTTCTCTTTCTTCCAATTTTTCTCCAATACATGCAATTACCTTTATTAAATATATACACATATTAATATTTATTAATTTTTAAATTTTATATATATATATTATAGCATATGTGTATATATATATAATTTATTTCACTTTTGATTACATGTAAAGAATTCTATAATTGTAATTTAAATAATAACTTATTTTTTAAAATAATTAATATTTTACCTTTAATCCACTATCTAAAGCATGGGCTACTTTTTCTGCTATTAATTCATCATTTTCACCAAAAATATTTCTACGTTCGGAATGACCAAGAATTACCCATGGGATTCCATTGTCCAAAAGCATAGCAGGACTTATTTCTCCAGTAAATGCTCCTTTTGCAACCTTATATGTATTTTGTCCAGCAATACTAATATTATTGGGTAATATATTCTTGGCATATGTTAAATATATAGATGGTACTCCAACAACAACCTCTGATATAATTATGATATAATATAATTATGTAATTTATTTTATTTTTATTTTTAATATATTTATTTTATTAATTATAATAAAATGCATACATTACTTAATATTTGAATATATTATTATAAGATTATAATTATGATATTAATATTATATTTTAATAACAAATATTATTAATGAACAATTAATGAATGTTATGAATAAAATAATAGAAAAATATAGGTTAAAAACATACAAAAATAATAAAATTTAAAGAAAAAACATACCAACATTTGAATCAAGTGGACCTTTTTTTAAAAAGTCAACAATATCATTTATTTCACTTTTGGTACCATTCATTTTCCAATTACCACCAACAAAAAATTTACGACCCATGGCCTTAGAGTATATTGATACAAGTAAACTATTAATAGTAATAAATTTGCAAGTTACTTGCAAATCTGAAACAAATTTTGAAAATATTCTTTCGACCTTCAACAATACAGAAGGTGAATTTAGTCACGTTCCTTCCAACCCGATTTTATGAAATCCCCACCATTCTCAATTTACTCCCCTCTCTTTTTTTACGAATTCTAGTACTTTAATCAAATAATTTAAAATAATTATTTTATTTCCAAGAAAAAAATTATTTGTTAAATATATTTTTTCATAAATAAGTATATTTCAAAATTTTATAAATAATTTTTTACATAATTTTATGATCAAAAAAAAATTTTTAATTTGAATTTAATTAAAATTTGAATACTCTAAATTTAATGAATTGAAATTTAAAAAATAATAAATTTTATGAAATAATTAAATATTAAAATCACTTTAAAATTTCAAAGTCAAATAAAATATATCATAAATTAATAAATAAATTATATTATATAAAGTTTAAAGATATCATTAAATTAAATTTTTATCTATTAAAACATTGAAAAGTAATAACTTAACATACATTCATAACAGCACATTTAACATTCAACTTATGTATACAGTAATCGATTTGAAATGATATGTTAGTCAATTAATGGTGAGTAATAAATAAAGATTATATATCATAAAATCATAAAAAATGATTTATTTTAATAATATTATTATATAAAATAAATTTAATAAGATCAATATTTAATGATTTATAAATAATGTAATATTTAATATATCATCAATATTGATTCAGTAATTGAATTCAAATAAATATGTTTCATTTTAAAGGTTATGAAATTTTTTAATTAAATTAATTAATTAATTTTTAATTATTTTTAATAAAATTAATGATATTTGTTGTTTATGATTATTTATTATAACAGAATAAAATATGGGGTATACTTACTATATTTGATGAATTCTTTATTTAAGATCCTTTTTTGGTATAATTTAACAAAATTACAAAAAATGAAACGCATGTTAACAAAATACTTTAAACATTATTTTTTAATTATTATTATAATATATTCTTATTACTTGTAAAATTTAAATTATTAAATTAATAAAATTAATTATGCTGTTTATTATTATGAAGTTGAATAAAGAAACAATTGCATAAGTTTGTTTATAATGATTTGTCAATGTTTATATAACACAAAAATCAGAATTTTATATTTTATTATACATATTATTTTAAAATATTTATCTATTAATTTTAGTTAATATCATAAATATAATTTTTAAATTCAAAGATTTGTGACATGTTTAAAATGTCAAAGTTCAATATGGATAAATTTATACATACATTTATCCAAAACTTAGGTTTAAGAATCGAATCTTGTACTTGCAAGAAATTTAACAAAATTGCATTTATGACAAATATAGATAAATCTTATACATTGAAACAATTATATCCTGCAGAAGAAATAAAAGAAGTTAATGTGCAACAAGATTTGGATTTTTCCACAGAAAAAAATATAAAATATTTTATGGAAAAACATGCTAATCTATTTGATAAACTTACCTATTTAAATAACACACAAATTTTAAATTCTCATTTAAAAAATATTAATTCAAAGATTCTTCAGAAAATAAAAACAAAAAGAAAATATAATGGAATTATAAAAAAGGGGGAACTCAAAACACATAACAAAACTATAATTTGTAATAAAAAACTAAAAACAAATTTAGCAAATAAATTAAATGGATCAAAATACAATTTATCATCATCTATAACATGGAAACAAAAATATATAAATTCCCATTGCAAAAAAAATAAATTTAAAAAATCTGCAATATTTGAAAATTCTAAACTAATTTGTTATAATACAAATATACATGATTATAAAAATGAAGACACTTCAATGAATAACGATGAACAAAAAATTTTTTCTAAACACAATTTAACAAATGTTATGATAAATTTTACGAAAAAAGAAATAGAAATGACTGAAAAATTGTTGTTATTGTATATAAAAGATGTAGAATATATAAAAAGAAATATTCAAGTTACTCTATACATAACAAAGGTTATACAATACAAATATATTTTTTATTTTAATTTAAAATGTTTTTCCAATTATTTTAATTTATTACTTATTATATAGAATTCAAAATTTAATTATGATACAAAGGATCGAATAGAATATAATCAATTACTTTGTCATCACGCAATTCTATGTTTAATTGAACCAAGTAAAAAAGGTGCTGTTTTAATTGAAGATAATTTACCAGTTATTATTAAAAAATACCTTATGCATGGATACAAATACCATTTTGATTTTCAGAGGTATTTTATTTAAAAGAAATATTATATAAGTATTAAGAATTGAATGGATAAAATATTTTTTTAGGAGTTCAAAGAGTTATTATACAGCTGTACTTATTTTGAGTCAATCAGCTAAAGTTCTGGTTAAACATATAAACACAACTATGATGCATACAATTTGTGGTATATTAGGATGTGATGTGCAAGAAATATTAGTGTTATATAATCCAAGAGAAAAATAATTCTAAATATTATTTTTAAATATTAATTTTATAAAAAAAAATCTATGAATATATATTTAATATAATATACCAAATAAATGTAAATTTATTAAATGATAATGTAACATACATAATACATCCTTATGTAAATCTCAATAAATATCAAAAATTATGTATATCCATTAAAATATATTTCTTTTATAGGAGATTTGTATTTTACATAAGAGGAAAAATGGTAAATGAAGAAATAGTGGAATTTAATAAGAAATCACAACCAATTTTTAAAAATCCAATTTTTCAACAAAAATTTCGATCTACTAGTACCACTGGAAAGAAACGAACTTGGCGCTCATTAAAACAAGTCTTAGCTCAAGAACGTATTTTACCATGGCTTCCAGAAGTAGTGCATTGTACGATTTATTTATGTTGATATTACATGTATAGATTTAGAATGATTTAAATAACTCAAGAACAAAAAATTATTAATATAATTATAAGTATATAAAATTTATATATTTAGTAATATTTAAATGTAGTTTATTTTATAACTTCTGTGTATATGCACATCAAAATTTACTATTAGACGTAAAAAAATTCTACTAAAATATATGCAGTAAATAATAAATATTAAGTTTTTTGAAATATATGAATATTACATTACTTGAAAAATTTCAGATAGTTCTATTAATGCACCGCCAAGCTTTAGACCAGCAAAAAAGTACTCTGATATTTCTGGATTACCCGTAAGTGATTTTTTACATTTATATGGTTGGTTATGGGATTAAAATATAAAACGAATATATAAATTATATTTATTTTACAGTCACGATATACAGATCCACAAACTAAATTATACTATGCAACTGCAGAAGAATTTGCAACAGTTCGAAGTCTACCAATGGATATAACTGCTGGATATCTAGCGTTGCGCGGTGCCTCCAGTATTGTTGGATAAAATAAATGAAAATTTTATTTTCTATAATTTCCTTATATTTAAATAATATAGAACACGGATATTTTATTTTTTAATTATATCATACTTATTGTAGAATAACGAAATAGGTGTAAATCTGTAAATTAATTATAAGGCTGCAAATGTAAACAAAAATATATCGAATTTATAAAGAGACAAAATAAGATTATTTTTAATAAAAATTGTTTTTTTATACATACATACATTGTATGTATTAAGTTCTTTTAATGGGATTTTCTGAAATAAACAATTCCACAAAAATTTAGGTCATTTTCATTATTTTATCTCCTTCATATTATACACAAGTAATTATTATTAAAAAAGGATTGTTCATTATAACTTAGCATTATGAATTACGAAGTAAAGAAGGATTGGAAAATCTTTAAAAAGAATATTACTGTTTTTTTTTCTCTTGATCACTGTATTCTGTTATGTTGACAATTTCTTGTGCACCTTATTTGTCTGCTACTGCAATGTGGGCCATTAGCAAATTTAATGAAAATACAAATAGCATGGCCTATTGAAATATTGCCTGATGGTGCACGTAAGTCGCCATTTGTTTTTGTATGTTTTACTTTTTTAATGAAGATTATTTTAAAGTAGCATCATAATATTTTCATTCAAGCAGGTCAGGCAAATCATCATCGTCACTATCCATTCCTTCACCTTCATCTCCTAGTTCGTCTAAATCATCAAAGTTTGGTTTACTGTCTCCAGATCCTCCTAGACCACCCATCTGTCGCATCATCTTTAAATAATAACACAAATTTAGATTATAAAATTGATTCTTTCAAAATAATTAATTGTAAATAAATATTTTAAATATAATTAATATTATTTTTTAAATATAATAATGTCTCACTTCTTCTAAATCGTGACTACTTCCTTCCATGCCACCTTCATCATCGCTATCATCTTCATCCTTCCATTTGTTAAAATCACTTTTTAACCAATGGGCTTTCGTCTTTTCTTTTGTTAATCTTGGCCAATATGGACCTTCTTCTTTTTTAAAAAGAACTAATTCTAAAGTCCTTCCTCTTAAGTTCTGAATTGTTCTATTTGGGGTAATTTCTTCATATAGGTTAATTGTTACTTCATGCATTTTTTGTTCTGTTCCACCTATTCCTTTAAAATATATCATTTGTGGTTCGATGTTAATAATAGGATCTTTGCAATCTTCTAGACAGATAGTAACAAATAAAATATCTTTTCTCTGAGCCCACATAACAGGTGGGGGAGGCAATCTGAAAAATTTTTAAACAATAGCTTTAAATAATATATAAAAAATTAAATTATATATTATATATTATAAAATATTATAATTATATATTATAGTTTTATATTAATTATTATTTATCAGTTATATTATTCACTTATTACTATTTATAGTATTTTTGTATAATGTATGCATATATGTATGATGTATGCTATATATTTACAATATATTTACAATAAATTTATAATAGTATTACAGAGATATATTAAAATACTAATTATATTTCTATATAATCATTTGTTATTAATTTCTAATATATAATTTACGTAAAAAATGAAATATGAGGTTTAATAAAATCTAGACATTAAAGAGATATTGAAACATATGTAAAATAATTGTAAAATGTAGATAAAGGTTAGAAACAAAGCTCTATGGTTTCCAATTAAAACCGCTAGTCATTATAGATAAAATGATATTATTTTTATAAAAGAATTGTGAAAAATAAAAATGATATAAAACTATTGGATATATTTTGATGAAATATAAAAAATGATAATGTACTTTTTGCATTTTAAATATATAGTCAATTATTTAGAAATACAACTTATTAAAAAGCAGTATTTTTACTCAGTTATCTAAAAATAAAAAAGAATATAGAAAAGCTAATTAATGGAGTAATCGTTCTTAAAAATTAACAAAAACAATATATTTTAAATTAAGAAAAAAAAGATATAAAATAATTTCTTGCGATTCTTTTCCAGAAATTTCGAGAATCAATAAAGCCATCTTTACAACATGGCGGTGTTTCGAAAGCCACGGGGCGGTATTCAAGCTCATTTCATGAATATCTATCACTATTTTCATAATAATACTAATAAGAAGGAATTTCAGAATCAAGGAATACATTCGAAAAAAATTTTATGTGATTTCTTATATACTTACTGGCCTTCTTGAGTCATATTCGAGAGCTTCGTTCCGCAAGAAGCAAACAAACACAGAGCACTTACGTATCGCGCCGTAGACCTCTGATTCGAGAGTGTTTCGAGATTCAACTATCGATCAAACAAGATGGCGATTGGTTACTTTTGTCGATGTTGAATTCTCTTGTTTCCGGAATCGAATTTTAAAAAGTTTTGCTCGTATCTTTAAACATATAATTTCTAATATAAATAAAAGTAAATTTAATGTTATTAGTATAGTTATTTACTATATATAAAAATATTTATTTAAATAATTTTTAATTATAATTTTTTAATATAAAAAATATTTAAAGATACTTATCCTTTGTACTTATACAGACATTAAAATAACTAGATATTCGATTATAGTGTAAACTAGTAAATATTCGACAATTATATGAATGATAGTTAAAACTAATTTTTTAATATTCCTACAAATAAATCAATCAGATGTTACAAAGAAATAAAAATTGAAAAAAAGCTTATTTCTATTTTTCATTTATTAGATAAAGAAAATTTTTTATTTACTTGGTTATATATTAATTTCGTTAATAATAATTTCGTAAAGTTATAAATAATAAATATGATAAATACATATATTGATTATATTGATTATATGTAAATAAAAATATAAATTTATTTATATTAATTATTTCTATTAATTATTTATATTAATTATAATTATATATAAATATATATTTCGATTATTTATGAAAAATTGTTTTTCCGCAAGAAAATATATAAAATGATTAATATTATACAATATATAGTATATAATAAATAAATTTAAAAAAGAATTGACCAGGTAAGAGAGAGAGAGAGAGAGAGAGAGAGAGAATAGGGAAGAAAAGCGAAGGGAAAAGAGAGCAAAAAGAGAGAGCCTTTGCATTAGATTGTAGGTCAGTGCGGCAAAAGAGGAGGGGAAGATACTACCTTTCTTGCCGTAACCGTGGCCATAAACTAACAGGACATACACACTGTATATCAGTCTTTCTTTCGCAGCTCTGACTCGTCCTGTTTGTCAGTTTTGCAGGTGGTTGTTTTTGCATAAATGTGTTTTCGATGATATTTACAACTCTAATACTTTCTTTTAATTTTTGTGTAAAGTTCATAATTTCCAATTTTTTATTACTTTTTTGATCAATTTCCAGTTTGTCATCGTATAGTAATTTGATCAATTTCCAATTCTTTTTGTTAATCTATAAGAAGTTATTGACAGACGCGCGTGCGCATGTATGCATCACACTCAATGGATACCTCGAGAAGTTGCAGTCGAAATAACGGAGATCGACAATGAAACCGTGACTTTCTACGATCAGTGCAACTTGTTGCTTTGGGATTAACATTATGTCGACCAGTTCTCTTTTTTATAAGGATAAGTACGTGGTAAGTGTCATCCTTCTCTATCTTTTATGTACTTGTATTTATATTAAATTTGAAATAATTTGTATTGTTTTGCTCATTATATAGGTATATTTTTATATATTATTAAATAAAAAAGTTTAATACTTTTTATAAAAATTTCTCTCTATATAGGTATATAAATTATTTACTTATTGTATACGCTTTCTTGATCGTTGATGTCGTCATGCATCGTTGAGTTTTAACTCGCAATGAAAAATTTAACACGATGTTCGTTTATATGATATATTATCCATGAAATTATGTGTATTAAATGATAGATTGAAATGTATTCATTTATATATATATTTATTTTATATATATATAAATATATATTTTTTTATATTTTTAAATTTTATTAAATATATTTTTAAATATACTAATTGAGAATTTATTCGGAAATATGTTTATTAAACGCGAATAGATTTTGATAAAATTTTGAAAATAGAAAAAAATAAATATTTGTTATACACGAAGAATTATTATATCATATTTACTATACTATAATGTGTAATTCTTTCATTGTATAGAAATCATAAATAAAAATAACAATGTATTGATGAGATTGTGTATCATGCATTTTATAAAATGCATTTCGTAGTTAATGGATAAAATAATCAAAAATGATGACAGAAACAAAACAAATAAAAAAAAGTTTTTTATATAAAACATTTACAAAAAATACATACAAAAAATTTTCAATTTCTGTATTATATAAAATTAATAATTGTATTATTAATTATTATATATTTATATTATTATAATTGTATTATTATTATTAGTAATTGTTTTATAAATTTGTTTTTTAATAAAATCTTTATTATTTCACTTTTATATAATAATATAATATAATAAAACCGATCGATTTTTGTTTAATAGAAATATTTAAAATGCTTAAGTTTTATAAATCATGAATTAATATCAGTTCTATTTTGATATAATTATAAGGAAATAAATAAATTGTTTAAGGAAATAATTGTTTTAAGGAAAGAAATAAATAATAAATTGGAATATATTTTAAATTTGCAGTAATTTTATAAATATAATAATTTTATAATTATTATAGTGATATTATCGCAATAATTTTTATTATAAGAAACTTCATGAACGATACATATTTGGTGATAACTCTGAATTGGCAAAATATGAAATTAAGACAACGAACAGCATTGAAGTTTAGTTACCAAGTGAATGTTAAACCGTATTGTTCTAGTTATTCTTATCCTTGATTCTATAAATCTTATCATTATCGCTGATATAATCAAATGAAAAATATCTTTTCCGTTCGTTTTATCGCGAACGGCGAACATTTAAAGATGAATTCGTTGTTTCGTTTCGCAAGATATAGTTATATTAAAAGTAAAACAAAAGGCATGAGATTAAGCTATTAAATATATAGTATATTTAAGATGATAATATTTGATATAGTATTTAATAATGCAATATTTGTTATATATATTATATTATATATATATTGTTATATATATTATATTATATATTATATATTGTTATATATATATTATAAATTGAAAATCAATATATGTTATATGTTCCAAGAAAATTATATAAAAATTTTATAATTTTATAAATTTTATAATTTCATATTATTTTAAATTAGTAATTAGATATAAATACACGTAAAAATACGGTAAGATATAAATACACCATATAAATACGATATAAATTATTTCAACATTCACATAAAGCCAATATATTATACAAAAAAATTTATTTTTTTTTTAAATATCGATTTATAAATATTAGTTTAATAAAATGTTTTACATATTACATATATAATATTCATATAATACATATTCAAAGTGCTATATAAAAATTGATATGCATTGAATGATCGATTCTTAACTTCGATTTTATTAGATCGTTAAGAGATCATTGTATGCATAAACTTTTATATTTTCTTATATAATTACCGGTTGAATACAGAGAAGAGAATAGATTGAGAATGAGAAAAAAAAAGAAAAAGGTAGGAATATTCATACAAGAAAGAAGTGAAAGAGGGAAAAGATGATAGAGAGGAAGGGATCCAGAAGAAGAAAAGACCAGCAATATATTCTTCGATAACATATTCAAGTTTTAAAAGATTCGGATGCCAGAATGATCCTCAGGGGTGAAAGTCTTACATCAGAAACATGTATTTTAATATATTAAACTGTACGATTCTTATAACGAAATGATCATTAAACGTAGTACATTGCGGTCTTTTTTCCCTTCTCATTTTTAATTGTTTCAAATTCATACTTATATTTTATTTTTAAAAATAAATTTAACTGACATCAATATATTCATAAATCGTTTTATATTTATGATTAATATTTATTTATTATCATTTATAATTATATTTAAAATATTTAAAAGTTTTGATTACGTTTGTGCAATTACGTTCTCATGAATTAACAAAGACTTGAATAAAAAAATAGTATTTATTCGTTACATTGTTCAAGCTTTTTTGATGAATAAATATATGCTTAGAAATCATTTCCATCATTAAAATAAAACTCCCTTGGATCAATGAAAAAAATAATTTCATTATTAAATAAATATAAATAACATTTCGTTATTATATAATATAAATTAATTTAAATAATTGAACTCTTAATTTTTTTTCATCTTCCATAATCATAGTTATTAGCAAAAATGTTTGAAAATTTTTTAAACTTGATTTATTTAAAAATGAAGCCTTAAATAAAAAAAATTTATTTTTTTTTTCTATGTATTTTTTGCATTATAGAATCATTAGGCGGCCGCTTGTATTGTGATTTTAAAGACATCTTGTATATGTATATACATAAAAGTATTTGATATTCGCTACTAAAAGCAATAAAAATATAGATTAAACTTATGTTTTGAAAATAATATTATAATTATTATAAAATAAAAATAATATATATATATTTATATTATATTATTAATTTTATATATATATATATATATATATAAAATTTCAAATAAATCTAATAATATTTATAGAAATATAAAGCATTATACATATATTACACATTAAACATTAAATATTAAACATTTAATATTAAACATACATATATATTATAAAATTATATATATTATTAAATTATACATATTATAAAACATTTACTGAAAAGATATAGTGGAGATTCTATGTATTTAAATGTATGTATGTATTATTAATATGTATTAATAAATGTATTAATAAATGTATGTATTAATAAATACATTATATTAATAAATACATTATATTAATACTTAGTTGATTCATTTTTAATTTTCATAATATCTGTGAAACAATATTCTTATATTATGAATTAATTATTGTATTTTTGTATTGATAATACTCTATATTTCAATAATTT